CCACCTGGGCATCCTCTCTTGCAGTGATATAAATCAAAAGGGAAGTGAAGAGGAAAATACATAATTTGAAAATGTTTTTCCTTTTTCAGGGCTTCAAAAGGTGCCACATGACAAGAAAGAAATATTCCGACGGGAATATTCTGCTGGCTGGTGAAGAGTGACAGACTGTGTCAGCAGTCCTGAATTCACAGCAGGCACAGTCCTGCCCATCTAAACTGGAGGCACCTATTCTCTGCAAAGAGAACTTCATGCAATTCCTGTTGGCCTTTCCTGTGCAAGTGTGGGCTTTAAACCACAAAGCCCATGTGTGAAGGCATAGAGAGCACAAAAATGCCTTCTCCCAGAACTGGCACAGATGCCAGGGTCAGCACTTGGGGGTGTACAAGAGCAGAAAACACATGCTTCATCCACACCCAGGATCAGTGGCTCTGGAGAGAGCATATCATGGGGAGCCATAATCCATGGCATTGCTGCTGAACAAATGCAGTGACTACTTTCTGGCATCTTCACCAGATACATTTCTCCTGTTTCTTCTACGAATGAAAGCCCTCAAAGGGCAACACGTTAGTCAAAGCTGCCTTCTAGCCACCCTCCCCTCTAAGTTTGCCTCCTGTCTAACCCTTTGCCTTTTGAGATCCAATGCTGAGCTTGCCTTTCTCCTTCACCTGACCAGGTTTCATGGCTTGACACCTCCAAAGAGAAGAAAGGTCAAAAGGAAAAGTTCAGAGGCAGACAGATATAAGGCAGGGCATAGCAGCTAACCTGCGAAGGGGTTGTCACACTTATCTCAGGGACAAAATTGTCATCAAACAGACTGATGATGTTCTCCTGCTTGATCTCCTTGGAGGGGGTGACTTTTGGAGGCGGAGGCACCGGAGGCCCTTTCCTCAACTGCATGCAAGTGAGCACACGGCCACAGCACAGACGGCGACACCCAAAAAAACCAGAGACAAGAACCAGGTTAGCCACAAAAACTGAAGGTGGGGGAAATCACAACCACAGGCACAGAGCAGGGTCCAATCAACTCCATCTGAAGAGAGGGAGGGAGGGTGAAGGGCTGAACTGAAACAAAACAAAAAATCACACGCCTCCAGAGAAGGTTTGGCATCATTAGTTACACTTCAGCCTTGGGCAAGTTTCCCTCTGCAGAGGAGAAGCGTAACACGATTAATATGCATTGACAGGACATGCATACATAATTAAAGCATGTGCAACCTTCAAAAGAACCACTGGGAAGGGAGCAGATCAATTACTGAGAACACGATTCAATAGACCAGGCCAGCACTGCCTCCCTTTGCCATACTTACCATACCTAAGGGAATGAGAGATCAGACCCAATTTGTCCTATTATGGGTAGGTGACCATGAGGACAGACTCTGATCTGCCCAGTAGTGGTTCCCTGGTGCACTGGTTATCAGTGTACCTGTAAGAAAGGTCTGAAGGAGCTCTTGATGGTGTCTTACCACTTCTCAGCTTTAGGCAAGAACAATTCAAACTCCTGAGAAGCCATGACTGCTGTGGGCCCAACTCTGCTCTCAGTTTCACCAAGGAGCATTGACACTAATGAAGTCGTGTTTCCCAAATGGACATCCCAGAGAACGCATAACAAAGTCTGACCCTGTAACTCTAGCCCATCCTAATACCCACCATCATGCTAAAAGACTCAGCCTGACACTGTATCCACAACCCCATGGGAAGCTGTGGTAGGCCTTCCCTATATCAACCCATCCACATCCTTTTCACATTTTCCTGTGCCCAAGGCTCAACGGTCATTTCTAGATCAAATCAAACTTCGAGGAGCTGCTGCTGTGTTGGAACAAAGCAGCCGTACAAGTTCCCAGCACCACAGCAATGCTCAGCAATGACAATGCTTTCCATTTACAGTGATGTTTTACAGTTACTTGATCTTCTTATCGTACCTAGGATCCCAAGGCAGCAAGACTCGGAGACCTGGCAATGGGCACCCAGTATATCAGTGTCAGGCCAAGATCTGAAACACAGCAATCCCCAACTCCTAGTCCTGTGTTCACACTCCTCCAGCATATAACCGAGATCTACAAGGCATTTATTCTGATTGCTAAGGATATGCCCAGTTTTCTACTGGGTTAACCTACTTTAAAGAGCGTGAGTGAGTATGCAAACACACATTTTCCACTGAATAGCTGGGAAGGGGAAATAATGAAAGTAGAGTGCTCGCTTCCAACTTTTCACTATTTGCAGAAGTTGGTGTGTCCATATTCCCTGACAACACTCCCTTCCTGAAAATCCCCTGCTTACCAGTTGTAAGAAGGGACCAGAAATTTCAGGGAAAAGCTGTTCTCAGAACAGAGCCACCATCTGCAGAAATGAGAGGCTCCAATTACAAACTCTAAAGTCAAAAAGATCCCGACTCTTCCGCTATTTATTTCTCTGAAATAGTCAGTCTCCTTCCTTCCAATGCATTAGTGTCTTGGAGACCACTCTTTCCACAGTGTCCAGCATTACCTCCAACAGCAGTCTAAAACCACATTTCAAAGACAACAGGATTGCATATTGATGTTGGGCTATACCTGGAAATTCATCAAGCACAACCAACCTTGCCACCTAGAATAAAACAAATCCTCTAAAATTTTTCTGCTGACTTGGATTCCACAGAGCTTTACCTGTCTAAATTCAACATAGTTGTGCTGATTTCAAAAGTGTCATTACAGTGTTTCAGTGGTGTAACTGAGAGCAAAAGTCTGACCTCTGAAATTTCACAGACCCCTGAAGTCCTATGTCATCATCAAATTACCCAGTGCGGAGAACCGATAGCAGCTGCTTCTTCCAAAAGACAGAAATAAGCTGTTTTCGGGAATTAAAGGACAGTGAGAGTAAAAGAGCTAATTTTTTGGCATAGGGAACAGTTCAAAAATTAGTTAGTATTTATTTGGTCTCTCCTGTTTTGCTGTCTTTCTCTCCACAGCCTTTGCTTATGGTTTGCATTAGTATTTCAGACAGGAAGAGGCCAGAGAATTGTACTTGCTTGTTGCTTTTTGCTTCATCCTCCCCCAGAGGATGAGGCCACTAGCCTCCCTAGGAGGACCCTAGAACAATCACTTACCCATAGGTCAAAAGTAATGACACCTGTGAAGATTTCAGTATTAAAGTCGAGCACTGTTGAGAAAGTAGACACTTGTGTTTTCCAGCTGGCTGGCAAGCTGACACACACTTAGTTTCTAGACTTTATCCATACAGACACCAGGCTTGGCTCTAAGTACGAAACCCCTGTCCCTGTCTTCCCTCCCTCTGGAGCCAGCTCCATCTCTTAGCACCTAGTATGAATATGGAGTGGAGCTCTTGTTCTTCACCGTAGTAAGGCCTGGGAGAATGAATTAAATATAGATAGGGAAAGAGCTGCCAGGCGGTGGCAGCATTAGCTGCAAATACCATTTCAGTCTTGCCTGTGGCCCATCTGAGTTTCCAGCCAGGGCTGCACTGGAATATTCTGCTTGCTTGACAAGGAGTGTCTCCAGCCCCATTCCTGTGGGCAGGAAGGCAGCAAGTGAATGAGAAAGCACTTGCAGGCTGGCAAAAACAAGGCTTATGTGTGCTATTTAAAGAAAAAGGAAGAAGCCAAACTCAGCAAGACAAGTCCACAGGCAGGGTAAGTGAAGTCTGCAGTGAACAGCTCAATAAATCTGTATGATTTCTTTTTCCAAATTTCAATCAAGTTATGGCAATCTCTGAAAAAAACAGGAAGGCAATTCTGGATGCACTGTCCTCTCTCCCCCATACACATACCCTACTCCAAGGTCCTAGCCAGGGAGGTGGCGAAGCCACTCTAGGCTGTGCGATGCTGAGCAGTGCAGAGACCTTGGAGAAGTCCTGAAAAGACACTGCCAGGCATCCATGTATCTCACAGGGATGGAAAAGACCCTTTTGCCAATGTACAAACATCCCCTTTTTGTCCCTAGATAATCCTGAAAATCAAAAATGCAGTGGAGGGAAAAATATTGAGACGCTATCCAGAAACAGGAGACAGCCTGCACCACAGGCCTGGATTTGGAATCACCCTGCTACATATGACAACAGCAAGAAAGTTCTGGGTTACACCCATCTCTTTTCAGAAGCAATAGGTTTTCTCTTACCAGTTTGGCCAGAACCCCTCTCAGCTTTAATTCTTCCTGGAAGACTCCTCCCTGGTGTCCCACTTACTGAAATGCAAGGATTGGCACCAGACATAAATTTGTCCTAGTTACTACTTTTCCCTACTAAGCTTTTCCCCCACTCAGCAATAGAGGGATGGGAAGAGGAAGTAAATGTTTTATTTTCCTTAAATCCCAAAGTAAAACATATCACGATATGCTGAGTAGCAGGAGCTACATCTGCTGTTTTAAACATGCTGGGTATCTCCTGTGTAAGGAAAGGACTAACAAAGGCCAGATGGAAGGTATCAGACTCCATATAATGGACAGTCTTTTTCCTGGTACCCACCTAATTTCTTCATAGCATAAGAATATAATGCCTTTATTTTTAGCATAATATTTTATCTTGGGATTAAAGTAAAACATAATGCAAAGTACAGATGTTCACCTTATCAATATTAATATCAATACTGAACTTTTTTCTTTGAACCTTCCTCAGTTATGGAAGTTCTTGAGAAGAAACTGGACCATTGAATTCCACAGGTTAATTCAAATGTAAAGAACAAACTTCCTTGCCTAGCTACAACTCCATCCTCCCTGGATCTTCTTGGCCATCCTACTGGACAGCAAAATGCATTACTGGCCTTCCCCCTGTAGAGGCATTCAGAGACAGCTTAGTTCTTCCCTATATGATATAGACATGACCAATGAGCAACTTGCATTCTCAGGAACCTCTCAGGAACCAGTGAAGGAGAACAACAGTCACGTCATATTCTCTGTGCTCAGTAGCAGAAGGAGGTCCAAAAAAGCAACTGATGGATGTCTTTGACTCACGGAGATTGTGCCATCAGCGGTCATACTGCAGAGACACGGTCAATGTCATGGGGACACTACCTGAGATGGTGACTTTGGGATGCTTGCCCCAGGCGCTTCCAAAGTGGACGGTTCCAGCTCATGGTTGACAGTCTTGGTCTCAGGGCTGGTGATGGGAGATCCATCTGGTGGAGGCGAGGGGCTTTTATTTGCTTTCGCTGGGGTGCTGTCACTGAAGGAAGTGGAGAGAGAAAGAGAGAGAGAGGGAAAGAGAAAGAAAGAGAAGAGAAGTCTGAGCCAGGCCTAGGAGGAGTTGTGCTAACCAGCACAGATCAGTGGCCTCCATTATCTCTTTGCTTCGCTGCCCAGATACATGATGAAGACATTTGAAGCCTTTACAAGCTTCCGAGAAGCATCTTTGCCGAGTCACTTGCAGTCCAACACACTGCAGCAGCATTACTGTGCAGCAGGCTACTCAGTAAATTCCTACTGCATGGATATACTTTGCCTCAGACACAGAAAAACAAAACCAAAAAACCAACCAGGCATCCTTAATTCTGCTAGATTCTAACGTAAGTGCCTGACATTAAAGTCATAGTCTTTTAATACTGGGGAAGCAGATAGGGGAAGGAGTTCTGTGCAGCTCATTTAGTTTTAAATTCTACAGATAAGAATTTTTCTGCATGGTGGTGTACTGACACCTGCATGAGTTATGACTAATAGATTTGCAACACCTGAACTAAGGCTGTAATCATAGAATATCATATTCCTCTATGTGGTACAAACTGTCTAAGGTGGAAGAGGGGCACAGTAGCCAGAGGTTTCACAGATTATTCCAGACAGCAAAGAAACAGTGAAATTCTGGCTACTAATAAAGATTTCTCTATTATGGAAAGTCTCCCCAGCCTTGTTTTCAATGACGAACCCCTTCTGCTCTTGCCTTTCCAGTTGGTCCTTATTCCAGGACTGTTTCTGACACACAGTCAAGAGGGATTCTTCAGGGAATTAAGATGCAAGGAGCATATGCCAATGGCATTTGTTGGTTCATAACTTGGCCAGATTTGGACAGATTTTTCAAAGGAATGGCAAGAGGCACATGCCTTTCCCTAAGGGCATGCCCTGGCCAAGTGTCAAGTCTGTGCTTCAAAGTATGGAATCATGAGAGATTTAGTAAAAAGTTGGTTACCAGAGAATTTCAACAGGGATAAAGGTAAAACCATTTTCCCAGCCTAATTCTCAGGAACAGCTAATTATCTTGGCTGAAATTCAGCTCCCCAGAAAGCAACTAATCAATTTATCTTAAGTCATGCAGAAGCACAGACACTGGTAGGGGATATTTCAGCAGAAGTGGTTACAGTTTGGCAAAACTATACACAGCTGAAAACAGAGTATTACAGAATATTGCAAAAGGGCTGTGCAACGTCATCTACAGGGAGTGGTATTTGCCTCCACTTATAAAGTTGCAGTTCATGTGAAGTTAAAGGCCTTGGGAGAAGGCTGAAAGGAACAGATCCTTTCCTACAACTTGAGACTATAAATCCTGGCACAGAGCCAGGACTAGAGCAATGCAGACCTGATTCTGCAGGGACATCAAGTCTGTTATGTATTTCTTTGCTCTGTCCCAAGAGAGCCCAGAGCTCCAGACATGTACATCCACTCACACTTGGATGCCTGAGGTGTGGTGGTCATTGGCTAACATGCATGATGGCCTCATTCCTAAACACTCACAAGTAGGAGGACAGCAAGAGGAGGAAGGGAGAGCAAGGCATTTCAACAAATCTCCCCTTCCAAGCAAGCATCTCCCCCTGCTAAGCATTCCAGCTTTCAAGCTCCCCATTCCATTCCCTCTTCATTCACTTCGCCCTCACCCATTCCCCCCACCTTCTCCCCATATCCACACCCCACACGCACATTTCCCCACAAAGCGCTTGTTCTCAGGTCCGCATGCAGGTCGGATGTTTCTGATGACACTGATGCCAGCAGCACACCAACATGATGCAACAAACCCAATGATGTTCTCTGCCAGCAGCTCTCAACCAGGGGCACGCACACCAAGGGAAAAAGAGGGAAAGGAAGAGGAAAAAGGGAAGAGTAGGGACTAAAGAACATGTACGCCAGCCCCTGTAGCTCTTCAGTTTGACTAGACATGCCTACAGTGTCCTTCTTCAGAGGTCCCCAGAAATCACTTCGAAACGGTGGGTTGTGTGAAGAATTCTGCAAAATTGACAAGGTTGTGCTATAGATCAAAAGAAGCAATGGTTGGATGGCGAAGGTAAGGAAGTCCTGCTCTAAATAGGAGTCACCAGGGAACAGCAGGAAATGACAGAAAATGTCCTCTGATGCTATTGGGGAAAACCCATTCCATTCCCTCTTCATTCACTTCGCCCTCACCCATTCCCCCCACCTTCTCCCCATATCCACACCCCACACGCACATTTCCCCACAAAGCGCTTGTTCTCAGGTCCGCATGCAGGTCGGATGTTTCTGATGACACTGATGCCAGCAGCACACCAACATGATGCAACAAACCCAATGATGTTCTCTGCCAGCAGCTCTCAACCAGGGGCACGCACACCAAGGGAAAAAGAGGGAAAGGAAGAGGAAAAAGGGAAGAGTAGGGACTAAAGAACATGTACGCCAGCCCCTGTAGCTCTTCAGTTTGACTAGACATGCCTACAGTGTCCTTCTTCAGAGGTCCCCAGAAATCACTTCGAAACGGTGGGTTGTGTGAAGAATTCTGCAAAATTGACAAGGTTGTGCTATAGATCAAAAGAAGCAATGGTTGGATGGCGAAGGTAAGGAAGTCCTGCTCTAAATAGGAGTCACCAGGGAACAGCAGGAAATGACAGAAAATGTCCTCTGATGCTAGCGTTGGGGAAAAAAAATATATGTTACCTTCCCTAGAGTTGAAAGCACTTTGGAGAAGATGGGGGACACAGTGATCTACAGGTAGACTGCCAGGACTCCTCAAATGCCCAGACTACACTGGGAATATTGGGACTACTGGCTATCAGCTGGCCTACCAACACAAGGGTAGACTTTTCCTTCTAGGGACCTGAAGAGGTCATTTCTCCCAGTGAGAAAGGAGTTCAGGCTTATTTTCTAAAGGCCATGAAACAGCTTTTTAGTGCCTTATTTCTGGTGCCTGGCAGCAACTTAATTTGAGATATATTGGTAAAAGGTTCCAACGTGAGAGACAGTCCAGTTTCTTCCCCTCATCCTACAAGGGCTGAGAGGTCCCTGCACTAAAGCCTTCATTAAGTCACTACTATTTACAGCTTGTTTGATGTGTTGGCTGATCCCCCTAGGAAAATGCCAGTGCTAATTTTGGCTGAGCCTTTTCCAGCCCCCCAAGTGGCACCTTCATTCCTGCACTTGTTGCTTTGCACGCATTTAGCCAGCACAACCAGCGTCAAGCGAGCTTGTCACCAGGATCCTCTGTCCTTCACGGGTCCCCGGGGAGCACACACTGCCCACACAGAGAAAAGTCCTGTCTCCAAACTGACTGCTTGCCTCAGGAAATACAGGGAAAAGCAAGAGCATGGGGACTGTCCCCACTGACCAAACATGAGTACCACAGTAAGAGCAAGTCAAAACAACAAGGTCATTGCTCTCTCTTTTTCCTTCCCATGAGCAATTGGGAAGTGATGCCAAATCCAGGAATATCAGGCAGGGAAGGGAAGGGGGTGTCAACTTTCTTCTGCAAATAGAGAGCTGGGAACAGGGTCTAATGCAGTTACTGCAGCTGAAGGGAAAGACAAAATCCCCCAGCCTCTTTTAGTGCTGCTGAGCTCCCAGACCCCTCATGAGGCTGCCTCATCTGTTCTGGAAGAGCAGAGTAACATCTGCAGATGGGGTTCCCATGTGCTTGTAACAATCCTACGTTACAGGATGAAACCTACTTTCCAGTATGGCAAAAACAGACCAGTCACCTCCTGCCAAGTTCTAAAGTTAAAAAGAAAAAAGGTTGGCATCTCAGCTAAAGCTCAGACAGGGCCTTTTAGCCAGAAGTAATTTATTTTTTAGCACCAAAGCAGGCTGGAGAATTATTTAAAAAAACAAAAAACAAAAAAAACCAAACCCAACCCACAAAAAAAACAAACCACAGGGGGCAGGAGAAGGGAGTAAAAAGCACCTACATACCCCAAACATACGGTGGCACAAATGTACATTCTTGCTGCAGATCAAAGAGTGACCGAGTCCCAGACCCTCCTTCCCTGTACCATGGGTTGCACATTTCTCTGTGACCCCAGCAGCTGCTCTGACAGCAGAAACCCCCAGCACAGCCCAGGTCAGGCACCTTAACTGCTGGGCCAGCTGGACTTTATCAGGGCAGAGCAGGAGGATGTTGTGGCTAGAGGTCATCAAGATGAGATTTACTAGCTCTCCCTCTGCTGTAGCAGCCATCCATTCTCAGTGACTGGAAATATTAGATCTCCTGCCTGGTGCGGGTGCAACACTGGTCCAACCAAGGACCAGAGACAGACATCCAGAGAAGTACTCCCGTAAATCCTCCTTTTCCTACAATACAAAACCTCAGAATAGTAACAACACAAGACATTCCTTCACTACTTTTCATTTGAGGATATAAAATCAAGATTTGCCCATCAGCTTCCCTGTGAAATTACCATTTTCCACCCTCCAACCTCCCACTTTACAAAGGATGCATAGCAGAGACAAAGAGAAGGGTTGTATGACTTGCCCTAGTCAGTGGGAAGCCAGGATCAGAAAAGCAAGGATCCCAATCCACCAGCACTTGCTTTTATTGCTGGCACGACATCATCTTGAAAATTATAATTATTTTTTTTCTTCCTATAAGGACACCATGGAGGGAGTACCAACACAAAGTCTAAGAAAGACAAAAATTAGAGGAAGTTTCCATGCCATTACGCAGCAATTCCCACTTCTCTCCAGAACATGTTCTTGTCAGAGTCCTTGACCTTGGCTATGGTAACTCTAGGCATTGTAGCAATCCAGTTATTCAATGCCATCACTGTCTTAAAAGGCAAGATGCTGACATTAGCCTTTATACGAGACAACAGGCTTCCTTTTCCTTCAGCCCTGCCCAAAATTTTAAATGGATGGAGCAAGATAGTGAGCATCCTCAAGAACACAGCAAGTAAGGAGCAAAGCTGGAAGTGTCCTTCTCCCACCACATCATCCTCCCAACTGCAACAGGTAGATAGGACAGGACTTCTGAGTGTGAAAGACCTGCCTCATGGTCCTCCCTGGCCAGTCAGGGAATGAGAATGCAGCATTTCAGACCTGTTCAAAAGGACAAGACCCACCAGGTAAAACTAGAAGTTGTTAATCACCAAAAATGACCATATTTCCCATGGAAAACCCAGCACTGCACTTCTAGTCACAAAAAAACAACTGAACAGACAATGCCTGAGCTTTCACGCTGCCTTCTTAGATAGGAAAAGAAGCAAGGATTCAAACCAGGCACACAAGCAGTTAATGGGATTATCCAGACACAGAGAGATCTCAGCAGGACCCAGCAGGCCATGAACACATTGTATCATGCAAAGGACCCCTCTCCCATCACAGGGTTAACACGTGCCAGGCTGTTAGAGTCCAGCAACAGCCTCTCCAGTTTTAGGAACTAAATCAAACACGTATTGAAATGCTGCTCTCCGTACCGGTACCTGCTCATCTTTTTCCTCAGCCTGGCGAACAGTTTAGTTTTCTTTCTGTTGAGGATGGCACGCAAATCATTTCCGTTACAGGATGGCACAGTCAAACCAGGGAGGAAAAGTTAAGCTTCCGAGCACCCATTCACTTGGTGCCACAAAACTCACTGTAATCAAGATGACAAGATCTCCTCTCTCTCCCTCTCTCTCCCACACACACAGATACACACACAAACACACACATACACGCTTCCCTTGGTTCCTAGAAAGGTATGGCCTGGTTTGGAGAGGGTAGGAGAGGGCTTTTTGTGCCTGTCAAAGATCTACATACATGTGAGCAAACTAGCAAACAAAGATCTACATACATGTGAGCAAACTAGCGTTTTCCCTGCTCTTTGGAATAGGGGGCCAGGGTGCACACGGAGAAGAAGAAAAAGGAAACCGTATAGACCAGCAGAGAACTGTAAATGTCCTTTTTTCACAGGTAATCACAGCTCCTCATTCTCCCCTGTAAATGTTGGTACACAAGAAACAAGCTCCCCATTTTCCTTTACTTATGCGATCTGTGTGCAGTCTTATAGATGGAACCTAGTCAGCAGCTTTCCTACTACATCTTTTTCCAGTTTGTCCAATTGTACTGGGATAACGCTACAGATCTCCTAGGACTTCTAGGCATCCGAGCCCTGAACGTTCAAACTCTTTCAGAAACGAATCCCAAACATATGTCTGAGGTTCCCAGAAATATATCAACTGCTCTGTGCTACTGTGCTACACAGCCAGCATCAGATTCATCAGCCACAGTAATAGTTCTGTAGGGCCTTGCACGAATGCCATAATGATGTACACAGATAATTACCTCTCTTCTCACACCTCCTCATTCATTTCCTGCCATTGTATTCATCTCTAATCCCCTCCCCAGTAGAGAAGGGTTAGGGAAGCATCTGCTCCTACTGCAGACCACAATAAGCAATCAGATCAGTGAGGGCTATTTCCTCCTGCACACTCTCCCTCCAGCCCTGCACCACAATGAGAGGCCAGATGTGCAGGAGAGACAGAAGTGCCTCACAGCATTTCCTGGTCACTGCAAAAGCTATTTACTACCCTGGCAAACCTACATCCTCCTACAACACCCTGCTCCACTGTGCTCAGGAGGAAGCGTCGCTCTGGGGCAGGTCTAGCATCTCAGCCGAGATGCAGGGAGTAAGTGATGAAGCAGCAGCACTCAGATTGCTACCCGCACAGGGACCTCTGTGTTTACACTCGCTTTCAGTTTTTAGGGCCATGTGGTCTTGTAGCCAGCCAAAGAACACAGAACTGCAGCTGAGACACCCATTACAGCCCCAGATGAAACGAGCAGTTTGTGGGGGCGGAAGACGTGAGGACAGGTAATTTATTCACTGGAAGCTCTTTCAGGCCAGAAACTTCATGCCACAACAACAATGAACATATCTGGGCCAGGCTGTCACTACAGCCTGAAATCACTTCCTTGAGGAAGAAAGGAAGGAGGAGGAAGGAGCTGGACAAAGCAATGGCTACAGCCTTCATCTGTCCTGTTACCTCATTCTCTTCCAAGGACCCTGGAGGATGCTGCTATCAGAGACAACACGGCACGTGGCAGCAAGAGGATGGGCACCACAGCCTCCTCACAAGGCTTCAGTCTTGTTGGGTTGTGATGATCAACTGACACCACGTGCTAACTTGGGAAGAAGGTATTATTTTCACAAGAAGCGTTCCTACTAGCCTCTTGGAAATTTGGTGTTAGCAATCCAAAATTCAGGGGCCAAATTCAACTCAAACGTCCTCTTTCTTTAGAGCTGGCAAACACCACACACATTGCTGGAACAAGACATGCAAGTCGTCTATGCACGACTGCAACAGGAGGTTAAACTGGGAGGAGAGACAAGGGAGCACAGAGGTCTCATCAGCTGATCTAGCCCTTCTGAATCAATGCACTCAGACCGCAGCTTGCCCTTACTTCATGCTGACTTCACCTCCTCCCTCCACCAATACACCAACTGAGGACTTGGGCTGTGCTCCTGCTCACCCGGCACGTGGGATTAGCAGCAGCTGGAAGCCAGAGCCGGACACTGTTTCATCACTCACGCATTTGGATGGGAGCCAGACAGCCTCATCCAGAGGCCGACCTCTCCCTCCCCTCTCAGTGCTAGAGAATGTGCAGACTTGCACTTAACCATACAGGACTGCACCCAGCTGAGGAAAGAAAACTAAAGGCCTGGAGGACACTCACTCCTTGCATACATGCAGATTGGAAGTGCCCTGAGATCAGGGGGCCTCATATTAGTGAGGCTGCAACTACTTCCACAACACACACAGAGGAAACACACCCCAGCTGGGTACACAGGAGGGGCATAAGGCTTTGGCAAACAGGTGGTTCCAAGTTTGGAGGGCCAAAGAGGAGGCTGGGGAAACAAATGGGCTCTTGGTGCTGAAGCTCACAAGCTGCAGGTACGTGGTGGAAGCTTTTGAGGGAAAGAACAGGACAGGTGCTGGGCAACTGGACCCAGAAGGAAGGGCAGCTCAGTATTACATGTCAGTGCATGGAATCTGACTTCAGAAAAAGCAGAGCTGAGAGTCAGTTGCCTAAATATCAGCACCTACTGAAAGTTTAGGCCTCCAGATGCTATTCTAGAAAGGTAAGAGGTATTGCATTGTGTCACCCAGCCCCAAGTGCAATCTTGGACATGCTCTCGGGAGTCTCAGGAGGGCACTGGCTGGCTATATGCAGGTAGTCAAATCACTCCCCAACTGACAACATGGAGGTTTCAATACCCCTGGTAGACATCCCTGTCCCTCCCCCCCTGCTGAGGGAACAACACTACTCCCACAGTACTGACCTGGGCTGTGCTTTAACAGGGAAGGCATTGCCTGAGTACTGCTTGTCTAGACCCAGCAGGACATCATGGAGGTTTTGGTTCAACTGCAAAATACAAAAACAAAAGAAAGAAAAAGCATGAGAAAAGAGCCCAAGTGCCAGAAGAGAGTCTGGGCTGGCCTGCACAGGCTGACCAAACACAGGCTTGTGCCCAGACATGTGCACATACTCAGCTATCCCAAGAAAGGATAGCCCTACATCTGTTTCCACTCCTCCGTGGGGTATGAAATGCTAGAGCACTCAAACTGTTGAAGAGCTGCTGGCATCTCATGGGAATGCTCTGTCTCCCTTACACATCATCCTCTTCGCTTCTCTACCACCTGCCCCCACCAGTGTGCTGCCAGGTACCACTGCAGAAGCAGGCAGAGCGTTTACCTAAGGGTCTATGTGCTAGAACTGAAGCTTATAAATCTTGGGATATGGCCATTTCAACTGTGGAGCCCAAAGGCAGCTGGACTTCCAGTCAACAACAAGCCTTGACTTCATGGGCTGCCTGGACCATCTAGGTTTGGGCAGGACCTGGAAATCTTTGCAGAAATGCAATATTAGGGGTTAAACTCTCCCTGGCATCGAAGGCTGCAATATTCACTCCAGACACTCCTATTCTGAAACAGCCAATTCATAAACAAGATGAGATGCCAGATTTATCATTGGTAGGAGGAGGGATCCAATGCAATCAATGTTGGAAGCATCGTGCCAGCAACACCAGCAGTTAATTGGATGCTACAGCAGTAATAAGAAACAGACGGTTCTTACGGAACAAAGCAAAAGCCCTGCTCTCAAACAAAACTCCTCAGGAAAGAAAAATCCAAGACATGATACAAGAAGAGAATTCCTGTCTAACAACCATCTTGCCCATGTTTTGCTGAATGTAAGTTAACAGCAACAAACTGATAATTATAACAATCCTCCCTATTCTTAACAATCAGTTCATCCCTTAGTAGAGAAGAGCAGGCTATTAATTGGAAAGGTCCCCATGAAATGTCAGCAGGGCTCAAAATTGATGCATTACACCAAGGCAGAGGGCCCCTGACTGCTGGGAATTGAAGGACTATAATGTTGCTTGTTGCTTAGCAGCTGTCTTGTTGTCAGGATGACATTGGGGAGGAAAGGGAATACAAGAGTTTTCCAGCTGGGCTCTCAGTTGCTCATTGAGATTAGTGCAACATTTACAGAGGGTGTGCAACTCTTAGGAGCAGCATACAGACCTAAGGAATTCAAGACTTCTCTAGCTTTTAACTGAAAGAACAAGAACATATTTGTAAATGAAGGTGGCAATGGGGGGCTTTCCCACAGATGGCAATGGGGGGCTTTCCCACAGACTGTTCCTGAGGTCTCTGCTGGGCACTGGCACACAGCACCAGGATCCAGCCTGCCACCACCAGGTTACAACACCGCTTACTGCTGTGATTCCCAACTCGTGGCCAACTGGTAGCCCATGCAAGGGCCATGCTAAGCACTCAGATGTCTTCTTCTGGGTCACAGGACAGGAAAGAAGCCAAAGCAGAGAGGTACTGCTGGGAAGTGCCTTCTTGAGGGACCAGAGTGAGACAGGTCTCAGTCTTCAGCCAACTTGCAGATTGGCAGATTCCCTGCTGTTTTCATCCCCACAGCTAGATAGATGAGGGTTCAGAGCAACTTGCTGCCAGGCAGCAGAGGCGGCAGCAAATAGATACCAGGTTGAGAGTGCCCAGGTTATAGGTTACAGATCCATAATGTAGACGAACTAAAAAAGGTAGCAAGAGATAGGCTTGAAAGTGGCTTCCCTTCCTGCTGTGGATCTGCAAATGAGCCCTGCCAAGTAACACAAACTCCCCGCTGCTGCATGGCCCTGTGGCCTCTTCCCTGCGCTCCATCCCTTTACATTACTATCTCAGACAGCTTTTCTCCCAAGCAGCTCAGAAAAAACTAAGCGTTAACATTTTCTGTTAACATACTCTGTTTTCTCCAGCTGTTTTTTTTCAGGGTTTTGTGTTTGTTTTTGTTTTTTTTTTTTAAATACCAGTGAGGAGAGGGCTTATTAGTAGGATAAGCTGTTAGTTGCCTTACCTTGCTCATTTCTTTATGGAAGTTCTCTTCTAGGCCTGCTATACTCTGGAATGTGTTGACATAGAAACCAACACGACTGCCAAATGAAAAATGAGACAGAAAAACTTAATGGACACAATGCTCTCCCAAAAACTTTCAATTCTGCCCCTTCTGCTACCTCCCACCCACTATTCCCATTCAAACTCAACTCTGTCAGGTCTGGTAGATGCTGGAAGAGAAGGGCGGCAGAGAAGCATGAAGGGGATGATGGAACAAAGGCCAGGTATGGGGCAAACATGTCTAAGATAAGGAGGAGGCCAGGTAGGATAGGATCTGAATTTGTGCTGGCTGAAGGGAGAGGGAGGTGCAGGGTCGGGGGGAAAGAAAGGGAAAAAGGAAAGAAGAAAAAAAAAAAAAAAAAAAGAGAGCCAGTGGTAGGGTGATGGAAAGGAAAAGGATAGAGGCTGTGACACAGATGGAGCGTGGGGAGAGCTGGGGGAATTGGCAGGACAGATATTAATTCACTTTGAAGTCCCTCAGCACCAGGGGAAGCAAAAAAGCATGAACTGTTTGTTTCAGGGCAGAAGAGTAAGAAAGCACAGGATAGGCACAGAGAGCAACAGGAAAGCAAAAGGATCAGCTGCATAGCAGGAGCCTGCGAACAACCTGTGGCACCTTAAAATCCCAGCAGCTGCCTGCCGCCCTCCTTCCTCTAGCCAGCCTGCCAGCTGCCAACAGAGAGTACTGTACCAGCACCCAGCTGGAGGAGCAACAGCAGGAGGGAGATGCTCTCCAAGGCCAGCAGCATCACCGTTCCGCACATGGAACCACCCAGATGCCTGTATCCCTCCCAGCTCCTTCCTCAGCCAGGCCTGCAAGCTGCTTTGAGCAGAGTCCTGACCCAGGCTGGGAGGAAAGTGGAGTGAAGGCAGACATCAGCACCTTTGCTTTCTGTCCACTCTCTCCATCCCCCCCAGACCAGCATTGCCAACCCAGATGTGATTATTGCATTTAAAAATAAGAAACTTGGACACTCCTAGGAGGATTTTGCCTGCTTTCCACTGTGCCCTCCCCATACATCAGCTTCTGCTGCCCTCCAGTTCATCCTCCAAGCTAAATCTTGATCTGTTTCTTTCTCCTCCCTTTTCATCACCATAATCACTGGTATGGCAAATCCATGGTCTCTCAGGTCTTCCTAGTCTCTCAGCCCATTTTCCTCTGCCCAGGCTATGTTTTGTTAAATAGAGCACAACAGGACAGTTATAACCACTAGTTCCTCACTGGGTCCTGTGTCACATAGCCAGGAGCATGTTTAGGGGCAAGAGAAGGCAGCCACACCAGGATCCTTCCCCTGTCTTTGTTCACCCAACTGCCCAAACCTGAAAGTGGCATGCAAAGCAGAGTAACCTGTCCTCTCATCCTCCCTCTTGTGTTAAACCTGCTGCTTCACCAGGTGCTCATAAGTTTGCATGGCGAGACACAGTGATCAAGGCATCACCTCTTGGCTCCTTCCAAGTCCAGTGACTGTATAAATCCCTCTGACATCTCATCTTTCCTTAATCACTCAACTGACATACCCACTCAGCTGCAGATGTTCCTTCCAGCCAGCCAGCTCCACACCCAAAATCTTAGTGACCCAGCCTGCTCTATCTGCTGTCCACAGCAGAAGCTGGGCCATTGCCCAGGAAAGTTGGGCAGAGTTGGTGGGGCAAAGGGATTAATCAGACAAAGCATAGAAACACAGTTTCTCTTTGTGGTAAAATTGAGTTTTTCATGAGGATCATGAAGCAAAGCACAGAAAGCCCAGGGTGAACCTGGCTGGGGGGAATCTTAGAACAGACTCTCTGAGATGATCCAGAAAACAAGAGCAGACACCCAGCCCAAGCTAAGGAGAACAGTGATACAAGAGCTTGGGTCTTCGCTTCCTTCCAACCAGCCCTTGCGAAAACTTCCAGCACTCACCTATTCCATAGTGAGGGCAGCTCCTCCTGCAGATCAACGTTCATCTCTTCAAACACCTTCTGAGCCTTTACTAACTCCTCTTCAGCCTTAATAACAGAGAAGGGAGATTGTCAGCTCCAGCGCAGACAAGTACCCTGCAGTGCTGGGACAACTATGACTCTTTTGACTTCCTTGGGAGACCAGGCAAAATTCTGGCATGGGGTAATTCCCGTCCCAAATGAGTCTCCCAGGAACCAGGGTTGATTCAAAATGACCTGAAGCCCCTTCAGCTTGCAAGTGTTACTCTCAGGTTTTCTCTCAATAGATTTCCCAGTTTGGACACTCAGTAAATCAAACATCCACTAATGTGTTTTAAGTTCTGTAAGTTTCCCTGGCTTCAAAAACTGAATGGAGCTGGTCAGGCAGTTCAGCCTCCAGCTTGGATACAGATGAAGATAATAGTGGCCCCTGCCCCTTGCCAGGTCTCTGAAAGAGTTGAAATCCATCCCAAATGGCATTGAAGAAGAGTCCTCCCTCATGGGGACTCTCTCCGCTCAGGTAAGGTCATGCCAAAGCCCCATCTCTTCTGGGGAAGGGAGGAGGTCTGCATCCTTGGCTGATACAGCTCTCTCACAAAGCTGACCGGGGAAGCAAGGAAGGGTATGCAAAGCATGAGTTGTGCCAGCAGGAGGCCAGGCTGGAGTGCTTGAGCAGCAGGTCTTGGTTTCAGCGGTCTCACATACTCTCATCGGTGAGGATCTAATACAAGAGCAATCCCTGGCTGGCTGTCGGCCACCAACACCAAAGGAAATATGCCTCATACAGGACCTCTTTCTCCCAGTTGAGAGCTTAAATTTGACCTGTTCATTTGACCTAGACGCTGACAGACTCCAACACTGATACATGAATTCTACCGGGTTTCAGTGACAAAAAGGGTGATCCTGGTTTCTGTTGCTGACAGCAGACACCAGCAACAAGCACATTCCCCTTCCCATATTTGTCCTAGGTGACCTCTTCCTCTTTTCAGTGCCTTGACTTAAAACTCAAAGCTTACTAATTGAAGTGTTTCTATTCTGTAATTTGCAACAGCGCAGCATTCTCCCATAACCCTGTGCACTGGTATGCAGGATGGCAAATCCCTGCATGAGCAACTTGATGACACATCTTAACAGAAAGGTCAGTACAAGTGCCTACTTATATGTGTGACAACAGCAGGAATGTCACAACGCCACAGGGCTCTGCAAAGAGCCCACAAGCCACTGGGGAACTGGATCTCTCTATGAGCCTGCAGTCAGATTCCTACCCCTTCTACAAAACGAAGTTTTATCTTCTTTGTGCCAGCTTAATTAAAGAAATCCAGCTTACTACTCCTTAGCAACAGGTATATGCAAAGATAGGATTGATGGGAGAAAGGATTTAAAAATATTTTGCAGTTCAGAGTCCTGCTCCTGACAGTGTGGTGTAGGATCCTTACACTCTCCATTTCTCTCCTGATTTATGAGCAACCAGCAGAAGCTCCTACTTTCCAGCTAGCTCCACCTTTCAGAGGGTTGCTCATTGCTGCCAAAGGCAAGGCCAAAACTTTGTACTCAAGATTAGAAGAGAAAGTTTCCCCCAAAAAGGACACAACTAGGAGGTATTCAAAAGTTAAGCAGACCTTGTGAGGAACACGCAGGGGGAGAAGGGGCCATGATGCTTCCACCCAGAAACCCCTGTATTTCAGTGCTACACTCACTGAAAAACCCAACATTTCAAGAGAGTTTGCACAAACAAAGCCCATTTAAACAGAGACACAGTTTATGCTGGATCACAGACAATGATCACAAAGACTCGTTCTGCCTTAAAATCCCTCTATGAATGAATGTTTCTAATGTAACCATATTAAAGGGGGGAAAAAAAACCCCAGTCCATCCTTTGGCTTTATCTTACTCTAATTTCCAAACTAGACTGGAACCAGAATCAACCCAAGAGATGGGATAGCTGGGAGATGAGGCACCACTGAATGCTGTTAGTTTTTCAGATATGGTGAAAATTAATAACAGTCTTTCCCTCTCTCGTTTACCTGTTCAGAAGGTCAAAGAACCTAGAAAGCAATGTGTGAATATTGTGACATCCCGAGGCAAAAGCAAAATCAGCAACAGGCAACGTTCACTCTAGAGTAGCTGTAGGAATCAGGGACCCATCTAGTGCCTGTGGCTTAGCTAGTGCCCTCAGTCCCAGGTATAGCATTGAATTAATTCTTCACTCCTTTGTCAGCCCAGGAATCTTCTCACCAGTAAGATTTATTTTGCTTGGAAGCAGGGGTCCTGACACTGGATAGCCCTGACTGCTTCCAGCTGGAGCCGAAGACAGACATCAATTTGGTCATAAGCCCTGCTAGAAGAAAAGCCAGCTCATGAGTACAGTGGGGAAAGGAGGGAAAAAAAAATAGGTTTCGGGGGCAGAGCCCACTGCTACTGTATCTGTGCACTTTCTATTTCAGCTGTCATCCTTGCCAACCTGATAGAGAACTGAGGCAGAAGGACGTAATGCCCAGGTCCATGAAATGTGATCTCAGAAAATTCTTCCTCTCTTCTCCCTACCTGAAAGGGAGAAGGTTTGAGCAGGAGCTGGACAACACAAATGCTTTCCTGACCTTCCCCCTAGCCACAGCTCAGCGTGCCAAGCACAACCAGTTCAGCTGTGACAGGGAGGCAGTTATTCCCCCATTACATTTCCTACCATCGTGCATCCCAGCACTCATGAGTGTCTGGCAATATCCAGGCTAGTGCTTTCAGGCAATCTGGTGACCATTTCTCTTCAAACACTATGCTGTGAACTGTGGTAATTATGCACTGTTCAGTAAATATTTTAGACATCTATGAGGCAGGGGTAAGGAGGAGAGCTGGGCACCTCAGCCCAGGCCAAAGCCCCCATCAGTCCCTGCCAGACCTGCCTCTCAGAAGGGCAGCATGGCCCAGGACTCAACTTGCCGGCTTTCTCCTTGTCCTGGTTCCAGCTGGGATAGAGTTAATTTTCCTCCTAGTAGCTGGTACAGTGCTGTGTTTTGGATTTAGCATGAGAATAACGTGATAACAGACTGATGTTTTAGTTGTTGCTAAGCAGTGTTTATACTAAGTCAAGGACTTTTCAGCTTCCCCTACTCTGCCAGTGAGGAGGTGCACAAGAAGCTGGGAGGGGGCACAGCCAGGACAGCTGACCCAAACTGCCCAAAGGGATATTCCACACCATATGACATCATGCTCAGTGTATCAGCTGGGGGGAGTTGGCCGGGGGCAGCAATCACTGCTCCGGGACTGGCTGGGCATTGGTCGGTGGGTGGTGAGCGGTTGCATCAGTTGTTTTTCCTGGGTTTTGTCCCTCTCTCTTTTTTGTTGTTTTCCTTTTCATTACAATTTTTTTATTATTTCAATTATTAAACTGTTCTTATCTCAACCCACGAGTTTTCTTACTTTTGCCCTTCCAATTCTGTCCTCCATCCCACCGAGGGCGCGGGGGCTGGGGGGACGTGAGCGAGCGGCTGTGTGGTGCTTGGTTGCCAACTGGGCTTAAACAACGACACTCCTACAGACAGAGATGTCATTCTGTTATCACAGCAGCACCAAGGATGTTGCTTTTTAGTCTGTATTCAGCATTTCGGGGGAGCTTAGCAAAAAGGCAAGAATTTGCTGTTCTAAGCCATTTTTCCTTTTGTTTCAAAAAGTGCAGTCACCAAAATTTGTAACTGAGAGCGTGCGATAGCAACCCCCCCAGGAGACTTTACAGAAAGCCCCCACTGTATTGTTTTTGTTAGTATCTGCTAAAGGCCTAAAAAGCCAGCAGTTTGCACACTGGAGGAACGGACTTGGTTTTACAGTAGAAATAATAGGTCTTGCTGACCCCATTTTTGCTTGGAGGTTGTAAAATTATCAGGCAAGAAAAAACAGCAACACAGCTGCTGGTAAGGGGAAGGACTTTTTTTTTTTAGGCTTAACATTGTGAAGGTCTTCAATAAATGCAGTGTCATCAGCCTTCCCGCTTTTATCAAGAGCTTAACGAGATTTAGGGTTGTCAATAACACCTTCAGTCTTGAAGGCATGCAAATATAAAACCTGAAGCCTTTTTTTTTTTTTTCCCCTGCCTGCTTGTGTTTGTGAAGAAAAGCTGGAAAACCTACAGGTTCAGAATACAAACTATCTTCTTTATTGAGTTTCTTTTGTTAGTCCCCAATGAAATTAAAATAAAAACCAAACACAAAGACTCGCACAAGTAGAAACAAAAAATTAAGGTTGGCAATAGTATTGTTTAGTTCAAGAATGAAAGAGGAAAAACTTAAAGGAGGACTTAACTTGATTTGAAAATACCTGCGGTGACTGAAAATACTAATGTCACTTAGCAGGAGGTTAACACCCCCACAACACAGAGGGTGAAAGGATTACATACCCTCTTGTCACCTGCTTTAGGGCAAAGTCACCCAGTACAGTGAAATTATCGATTGACTCTTGGTAGCCTGTCTAAGATCAGAGTGTAATGGATGAAGGAGCACTCGTAAGTACCGTTTCTCTAGGCAATCTGTGGGCAGTGGTATTACTCCCAGTCACAGCAGTCAGTCTGAGAAGAGGAAAAATGCCCAAGAGCCAATTTATTTATTTGTGGCTTGAGAAACTTCCCATATCTGCTTTCTAGTCCTCCAAAACAGACCAGTCAAGAACCACAACCATGCAGATTGTTCCCAGCACGGCAGAGGCACAGGAAAAGCCCCCGGCAGCCTGCCAAATGTCCTTCTCCCTTCAATCAAGAATGAATACATATTTCCTCCCTTTGCTATGCATCTTAAGCAGGGCTGCTAACAGCTGTTCTTTCCCCAGGCTTTATTGATGTGGTAATCTAGTCTTCTCCCTGATCTGCAGTTGTAAATGACTGTGGAAAAACTCAGGTGCTTTATAAGGTGAGAGCAAGTTAGTGTTTTTAAACTGCAATTCATTCACTGACAAGGAATGTGAAAACGTAGGAGCATTTGAATGAGAACAGATGAGCTCACCAGGAACCTGTAAGCAGGTAACTGGTGCTCTCCCAGTCTGGGTAATGATTTACTATCCCTTGCCCATTGAAAGCATTTTCTTCTCACTGACTGTTTTCTGTCAGCTCCCTCTTATCCCTTTAGGAGCTCCAAGGTAAATACCAAGGGAGATTTCATCAGGAAGCCACACTTCTCCTATGCAAGTAGGATTGAAATCCTTAGTCCCTGCAGTTTCTCTGAGCTGCTCTCACGTCCTTCAAGACGCTATAACCTAAATGTTCGGCCAAGTTCTGCAACCATGACCTCAACCTGGAGCTGTTCAAATGTATTACACGGGGTGCAAATTCCCTGGTCTGGGCCCACCTCTTCTCCTATGCAGACTGAACTTCCATACACCTGGGAACAGCTCATTTAGACCAGAAGGGCCAGGACAGTGCCCATTTTGGAAACTTGGATTTTACTATGGGAGAATGTTGCAATTTAACTCAGCAGCCATAGAAACTGCTTTTGAAGCAATGTGTTTTTTTCTGGCTGTACTCAACAGCAGAAATGCAGAAGCCAATTTTTCCAATGTTTTCCTCTTTTTTCTTTCTTGAAACATCAACAATAAAAATTGACTGCTTCTCTTAGAAGAAAAATAAAGGAATAATTGGAGGAACTACACTACATCGCCCTCTGCCTTGGCATTATTCCATAGCCTTTCTTCATCCTCATTTCATTTTAGGGTGAGAAAACAATAGCCCAGTATTAACACACCTGATTAGAAATCAATAGGGTAGGCACAGATTCATTCATTGGTCAGCAACTTCCACGTGTCCACTGTGGCTCAGGAACATGAAGGACACACTTAACAGAGGGGACTAGAGTGAACGTTGCCTAGAGATTAGTCGCATGGTACAATCTAGAGCCCAAAATAGCGCATGCAGGGTTAGAGCCAGGTAGATCAGCAGTCACCTGATTTCGGAGCAGATTAGTTTGCGCAACGAGGTGAGCTTGTAGCTTCCCTTGACACCACTGAGGCGCAGCTTTCTCAAGCAGCGAAACAGGCTGGGGGGAGGGAGCATGTTTGAGTGAAAAGAGAAAAAATAAACAGAGAACAAGAGAGACACAAACATATATCTTTTAGGATAAAAAAATTAAAATCACAACAGAGAGTGTATTTAGAGGCTGGGCCAAACCAGTATCACCAAGGTGAGAGAAAAAACAAACATCCTGGACCGATCAGTTATGAATCCTTTGAAGCATGCCAAGTTTAGCAGTAATTAATGCTCCAGTGTGGGTTGGGATACTGCAGACCAGCCAGGCAGCTGCAAAGAGCAACAGATATAGATGTTAGTGACCTAGCACACAGACAACCCTACTCCAAGTCATGGCTGTGAAGTGAGAGCTCCTTAAAGAGAGGTCAGGATTAATCAACCACCGTAATTATTTGCATGCAACAGCTGAAAGTCCACAGTGCTTTATTTTAATGGCGGGTTGTGAGTTTAGCAATAAGTGGCAGGAGTCCTGAGTGGGAAAAGAACATCCATATATTAGAGAAGGAAAAAACAGACCATATAGCTCCAAAAAGTATTTGCATTGCTGTTTGTATTACTATACCATGAAACATCAATCAAGTCAGTTCCCATTTGTATGCTGCGTCATAAACAAGATTTCTCTTTCCTAGGGGCCTGTCATCATATTCCAAAGTACCTTACACCGGAACAACCCTACTTCAAAAGGTACACAAGCAAAATCGCAGTCACAGGAACAGAGAGGTGAACTTCCTACATCAGCCTGGCGCATGCTGAGCCCTGGCTGCTGTCCGTAGACCTGCAGAGCTGCGTGACTGCAAGTGTGGGATCACAGGCTGGGCTGTGAAACCTGCCCATTTGGGAACAGCATACATACATAACTTTTGGGGACCCACTGCTCCCATCTTTACAGGACCAGGACAGTGCGATGTGTCACATATTATCCCGTGCATGAGCTTACGGCCTAAAGCACAGAGGGTGGAAAGATCTGATCCGGTGCACATTTTTGGCTAACAAGAGGAGTCCAATCACGTACTAAGAGACACTTGCACAGGCTAAATCAGGAACAGAGCACCAACTCCTAAATCTCAACATTTCACTCTTCAAACTGCACTGTTCTTCATACTTTAACAAAAGAGCAACAAACGATGCCTTGTTAATAATGTCTTACGTGAGCATTTGGGGCAACATGAGCGAGTGCAGCAATGACAAAAGTCAGCCTCTGGTGCAAATCACCAGGTACTAACCTGAGTAGATGAATTCCTACAAAAAACATTTCCACTGCAGCAAAGATCCCCGAGGCACACACCAATAATACTACCACGGCCCCAGGGAAATTCTGCTCTTACCCCCAAACACAGTGAAGTACTGCTTTGAACAGAAGGAACAACCCGCTGGGCCTCGTGCCTTGCATACAGAACCAAGACTTGCTTTGCCACACAAATGATGCAATGACACCTGAGCCATCAATCTCTCTCCCCTTTGTCTGTCAAGGTTAATCACAGTGCATGCACTGGGTGAGTAGATGACTGATGACTTGCAGCTTAAAAATAAAAGTACTGTCAGTCGGCCATTAAATGCAGATCTTTCGCTCGGGGGAGAGATGCATCTTTATTTCTTCCATGCAGAAGAAACACTAACGTCTCTCACAGAGCCCATATTTCCCCCTACCAGGAATAACTCTAAGCAAAGGACGACAAGTCTTCTCAGCCTGGTTAACAGATACAGATCCAGGCTCTTTCTTTCCTGCACTGCTTCTAACCTGAAGAGTCCTGATGTGCCATGGCCCACATTCAAGAGAATTAAAGATGTCTCCCCAGCCCTGAACTATTCTGTTGCGTCAAGACCTGTCCTGTGGAGTGGAGCACGTAGATTCAAATCCACTCAGGGTACAGGAGTAATCCACAGCTTATTTTCTAGGCAGGTATTCAAACCATGTGCCTCCTCTAATACAAGGTTAGCACTATCACCTTTCTTCAGCTACATTTAAAAGAAAATCTGAATCTTATTTTAATGACATTTATTTTAATTAAAAAAAAAAAAATCCTGCACTTGCCTGTTGGGCATGCTCTGCGGTTAACCCTAGATCAAGCTGTTCACAGGCATGAAAGAAACCACACCCTGACAAGAGAAAACTCTTTGTTTTCCTGCTTTCAGCCATATTTATTGTCCAGTAATTGTGACCAATAGACAACAGAACACAGTCATCAAGTGTGCATAGGGTGCATTTCCACCAATGAACTTGTAATTCACACTCCTAAGGGTCTCTGTCTTAGAATATCAGAGGACTTCACAAATACAACCAACCTCAAGCGACACTCAAACACTTACTCTCACCACTGCTATAAGATGGGAAGACAGAGCCTCAAGAAGCAGACTGGCAAATTTTGCTGAGGCACTGCAAGGCTTTGCTTCCCCCAGAGGTACACGAGCTTTCCTGACAGAGGTTACTGGTCCTGCAGCATCTGAGGAAATGCACGCCTAGGCCTTGGCCACCAAGAGATGCTCACTGATGATGGCAAGTCTGAACCAACACAACAGAGACCACCCTGCTTTCTAGAACTAAACAAATGAGAAGGAAATACCTAGCCAAACTTCACCAGTTCACGACACCACTCTGAACAAAACACACCCAATGAAGAGGTAGAGGCACACTTAAAAACTGCTCAGTAGGCAAATGCAGACCTGATGAAATTAAAGGATGGCTGCACATCCTTCTGCTTGCTTTACCTTTGCGATTTTGGTTTCATCCTTCTTCTTTGCAGTTTGCAGGGCTTCAAAATGGTGTCTGGCACTGTCGTAATCCACAAGCTTCCTTCCTCGCTTTGCTATACGAGACTAAGAAAGATGGAGAGAAGAGTTGTAACAATCTTCCCCAGCAACCAAAACCCCAAAGCCTCTCAAGGAAGACCCCCCTCCTCTTCACCCAATTTCCAGAGCATCCCATGCTCTGCCCACACAAAGACACTCACTGGATACTCCACACAGGCTGCCCAGAGAGGTGGCCCTGGGAGCCACCTGTGACAACCACCATTCTACAGGGAGCTCCTCAGGAGGAGTGCAGACCCAGCCAGGGAAAGCAAAGGGATCCAACCAACTACAGGCCCCACTTCTGGATAGCATTAATGTTTTCAGAACTGTAGCACCAGCGCTTCCTAAGCCTCCCCATGTGCCCACATCCTACGGGCAACTGCTTCATCATTTTCAGGGCCTCCTGAGGGCTGCAGCCAGACTAACTAACCAGCTCACAGTCCTAGATCATGTGGAAGCTCAAAAGATTAAGTTCAACAAAAGAACACATTTCTCTTACCAGCACATCAAAAGCACTCATCCACATGCTCAGGATACGCCTAGGACAGCATTTTGGACCTTGCAACAGGAGGTCCAGACAGAATTGACTGCAGCCACAGGCAGTCGTCCATTGTAACTAGCTATTAAGCAAGAGAAGTGTGAGGGAAAACCAGTAGCACTGTGTCACTAATAGGCAAGACATATTGAAGCCATAGCAAACGCGAGGAGGGAGCCAACTGTGTACCAGACTCGTGTTCAGGAATGGAGTCCTGACAGGTCCATAGGTGAGAATCTAGAACAGACAGTCAGGCCTGTGGCCTGATGATCCTCCATTACCCCTCTTCATCTGAGGTGCCTCAGGCTCTCTCCCCCAGCATAGATTCACCTCGGCAAGGCTCAGGCCCACTGGATTAAGAACCATGCATCCCCCTTAGACCCTCACCCCCACGCTCTCTACAAACACCCCAGGCTATCTGGGTTGGAGCACAGGTCTTCCCAGCCTGACTCTAGTACCACCCCAGCTTGGAGAGCCCGGTCCAGTGTCAGTAATCAGCAGTCTAGAGACAGGCTGCAGAACTGGAGTGAAAAGGCATGGCAAGGAGCCAGGAGGGTTTCTAATTAACCACAGCACCCAGGGGAATTGAAAGTCCAAGATGAAGAATCAGCATTGAGATTTACTTGCAAAAGCAAAATCCCCCACTCCACTGCACTTGGCGGGGAGATGCGGTCTCCTCTCCCTAGGCTCCCGCAGATAAGCTGCAAAACCGCACTCAGGGCTGATCTTTCTGCCAGACCAGCTGGGACCAGTTCACATGTCTCCTACACATGCTCCTCTGCACTTTCAGCAAATGCTGGTGCAGCTCTGCGTGAGTCACAGCGGATCTGCAGGATCTCAGCCACACGCACACCCAAACTGATTTCAAACCACTCAGCTCACTCCAAGAGAGGAATCACGAAGAAGCTGAGCCACCTCGCAGTCGAGGTCACTAGAAGACACCTCCCCAACATCACGCTGCCAGCCAGACATGGAGACAGGATGTCAGAGGGGGCTTCCAGCAGTACGACAATCTCTGAGATGCTAGTTAATGCATCTTACACACACACCAGGTATGGATTTATCTGGCCATGTGTTTTAAGAGACAGGATTTTTCCCCCAGGTCAGACTGGTAGAGATAGCTGGAGTTTTGCCCACCTCTGTGACATGGCAAACAGCCACTCCTAGATTTCCCTGCCACCCCACCAGGGAATTTGATTCAATGTTACCCATCCCTCAACAAGGTCACTCCTTCCCTTTTTTGCAGCCCCCAGTCTTCTAACCCCCACCACTACCTGATGGTAAAAGCTGAACTCCAACAGTTTACTGCTTTGCAATATATCCATCTTAATTTAAGCCTTCTGAAAAAAACAACCAAACAAAAACACCACAACACAAACCACCACCCAAACCACCACAAAACGCTTCCCCCCCTCCTCCTCACCAACATTTGGTTTTAAACCTAGTAGAAACAGGGCACCAGTTTCAGTGCAAGACAGAAAATCGCCAATTCCACAGCTATTCAGAACTTAGGTTATGGTTTATCTTCTCTGAGCTCACTGCAGAGACCTGTACTCTTGCTGCATACTCTGCAACCTCAATCAAAAACTCACCCAGAAATATTATAGGTTATGCAAGAGTCCTGCTCCAAGAAGCTATAGATACTGTCCTGAGAAGAAAGGATAAAGTACTTTTTGCATTCCCGTTTTTCAAGTTAGAGAAGACAGAGAGGTTTTGTTCACCACTCCCCACCCAACATTTAAAAATTATTCTCTTTAACTTATAAAAATTCCTTACTAAAGGAATGCTGTGTTTTCACATTCCTGCTGTGGATCCCATTGGAAGTCCAAAAAAATTCAAGGGAATTTTTCCAGCCAGTGAAGATTTCAGAACATGTTAGAATTAAACAAAAAATAATGCATGCATGATCTAACTCATCACACATTTGAATTACTGGGCCATTAACAAAAAACGGGCCTTTACATAACTAAATAAAAGCCATCTTCTCTCCATAAATCATCTTTCATTATTACAGTAATGCCAGAATTCCAGGAAAAGCAAAAAAGGTTGCTTTTGTGGAAACTACAAAACAGAAAACTATTACCACAACAACCAAAAACAACTGAAATATTCTGTAAATTACATAAGACTGCGGGGCGGGGGGGTGTTTGCCTGCCACCCTCAGGAACTCTAATTCCTTACGTGAAGCCAAACTACACTTTTGTACAACTGTAGCAACCTTCAACAACAATACTTATAAGAGTTTCTACCAGTCGAAGAAACCAGACTCAGTCTGAGCACTTCTCACTGCTCTGTGGTAAGGAGGATGATGCATTCAGCTGAACTACCAATAAAAACATATTGACCTTTTTTCATTCACACCACTGAAAGTCCGTTTTAAACAAATAGCTAACTCTGAAATATATCCATATCTTATTGTAGGAACCAACAGAAAGCCAAATTCTCACTCATTTTAAGAAGGGAAGCAGAGATGAGTAGTGCTCTTTTTAAAGCATTACTTAAATTGTGCATAAAATTGCTTTAACTTACCATTTTCTAGAGCATCATCTGAAGACTGAGAAAGGAACATTAGTAATAAACACCTTAGTGGCCCATTTGGAAGACAGAAAGGATCCATGGGAGCTCGGTGCTTAACACCTTGAGTTTTGGTGGAATTTGGTTGGTCCCAATCTCATGCTCCTTTTAAAATCCCACCATAAAACCTCAGCGGGACCCCAGCAGAATTAAGAAATCCCAAAGATACTAAGCATGGAAGAAACATGATACCCCGAGGTGACCCAATGCACAGCCGACAAGGCTGGTAAAATGGGATTTGGACTGAAGCAGTGCAGAAGTTTGAGTCTACAGCAAGCCTGAAATAAAACCTTCTGCTTAAGAAGCAGTGCACAAGCCTCTGCGCTGCTATCTGAGGCACATGGCATCACACTACAGGGAGCGATCAGCTCTACAGCTTTGAGCGGGTGGAAAGCAACAGCAAGCCTCTTCGCCCTTCCCCACTTCAGACTTCCAAGGACAGAAGAGGCTGGAAAAATGAAGCAAAAAAGGAGCCCCAGGAGGCAAGGACACTGCTGTTCAGGGCTCATTCTACAAGCTGTGACCTGCCCCTCCTCCTTGATACAGCACGATCCTCCTGAAGCAACAAATATTGACAAACGTTTTAAGAGACATGTGGTGTGGAAAGGGTTGTTTTCACTGGGAAGAAGCCAAGCTGATACTTCCCATATGGTGATATCATTACTAGTGTTTCCATATGGTAAAGACATTTCCTGCATAACCTTCTCAAAACGAACGGGGAGGAGATAACTGTGGGGGAAGGGAGAGGACATCATTCAAACCCAGGTCCTCAATATGATCTCCCCCAGAAAGACACCTATCCAGCATTCCCCCTTCTCTGCAAAAAGCTGGTTATATGCACAGCAGGACTTCAGAGAACACACAGAAATCTGCCTTCCATACCAGCCTCTACCTGTAAAGCACATTTGCCACTTACTACTTCCTCAAAGCTCTGTACATACAAGGATGTTAAAAAACCAAAGGACTGAAAAGAGAGACAGAGCTTGCGAGTTATTGCTGACACTGCCCTCCTGCACTGTGATACAATAGGAAGTTTTATGAATCCTCCTGTTTCACACTTATGTTTTCTCTTCAGCATCTTTCCCCTGGATTCTTCACTCTCATTTCAAGCCCAAAAGGAGAACGTAACATTTTCACGTGGCCCAGAGCTGCAAAGATCTTAGCTGCTCTAAAAGGAGAGCTTGCAGCAGCACAGCACACACATCCTTCTAAAGATGGGGATGCAAGAAATTGATTCTGATGAGGTTTCATCTGCTGTGACTCTCCAAATCAAAAAGGTTTAAAGAGAATCTTACTTTAATATCTGGAAATTGGCCAAGGTACGTATCCATGGTCAGAAGTGCCTGATCCACCAGCTTCTGATGGAAATCCGTCCAGAGGAGATCATTGTTCTGAAAAACAAACGTAATGAGCCAACTATTAAGAACACAGAGCTCTGCATTTCTGTTTTTCTCCATGAGTGCTACAGTCAACAATTTCAGTCCCCCAGAGCTCTTAAGAAATAGTCATTTCTTTGGAAAAACTAAGTAGAGAAATTAGTTGAAAACAGAGGTCATGCCAGAAATGTAGAAACAGAAAAGAAAGCCTGATGCTGCTAATTCAGGTGACCTCTCCAAGGACACAGCGCCCTTTGTGAATCTTCCTTTGAGGGCCTATCTTTTCCCCCGCGACGCTAGCTCAAGCCCATGCAATGGAAGGAAAGATGAAGGTCAGGCTGGCTTTACCCCCTTCTCCCAGCAGCCACAAAAATGAGACACCTGACACCCCTAGGCACCATTTTCTGCTTTTCATTACAACCCAGCTTTCTGGAGGATAATGAACAATAACAGAAAGCTATTCTAGCAGTCTTCAGCCTTCACACCACCTGCCTCCACAGCCCAACGGAGGTCACATCCAAGGCTTGCACCCTAACCTGTGCATGCTTTATCCTTGATCTTATCTCAGGCACAGTAACTTCCCATCAACACCTTGGATTAGGTGGAAATTGCCCCTCTCTCCTGTTTTTCCACTTGAACAAAGGGGTTTGGCTAAAATATTCAGGAAAAATGCCCACTTTATGTGGGAATTTTTTTTTGGGGGGGGCAGGAATAGCACTTTTCTCCTGCCTGTCTTTTTGTGAAAGAGAGAAATATAAACAAAGGCATTAAAGGTAGAGAGCTGGAAATATTCCTGCAGACCCTCAGAGTAGCTACAGTTAGTTCTCGGGACTCATGCTCCCTTTGACCTCTCTGGCTCAAATTCTCTGAAGGGACAGTCTCCCAGGAGGCACCGCAGTGGCTCAGGACAAAACAAGGCCAGAGAACATGAAGCCAATCCAGCTGAATTACAACTCCATTATTTACTGCAACAGCACTTCCTAACGTTTCCATGTTAATGCAAGAATTGACCTGGAAATGTTCAGGTTTTGTTTGATTTATGTGCTTTGAAGCCAGTATTTCCTGGGCAAGATGCAGATGTTATTTCAGGTGAGATTTTCTGCAGAGGAAAGCAGAGGAAGGGAAGAATCCCTCTCCTGCTCTCCTCTCTATTCCTTTCCCACTGCTCCAATACCATAGACAGCTGCAGATAAGCCCAGTCCTGCAGCCTCATGGGAGATAGATCCACAGATCTGAACTGCCACAGCTGCTGCTCAGCAGAACAGCTGAGCAAGAGAGCAGAGGGCACCTGCCTCCAGCTGGACCCACCGCACACACGTCAAGGGGGATCCAAGCTGTCAAATGACAGGCTGTGCCCTAAGCTCCACAGAAAACACCTGGGCAAGTTGAACAGGCATCACCTCACCAAGGGATGAAAAGAACAGCAGGTTGGGATGACACATGGCTCAGCCAAATAAGGTGGCAGTCAAAATATGGCAGCTGGTGGTACTGCTGTGAGTGGGAGGTTGTTGCAGCTACACAATGGCTGCTCTGACCATGCTTTGGCCATAGATTTAGCCACCCCTTTCTCTTGCACAGAGCGTAAGCAATACGTGCAGTTGACCCTACTGACTCTCTCGGCATCCTCTGTCCCTGTTTAGCCACTGTTGGGGGAACAAATTGCTTGTGGGCATAAGCATATGGCTCTGTGTAGCATTCAAGTATCTGGGGACAATGTCCTACACAGACAAAAATACATGCCACATCCCTTCAGCTTTCCCTTCTTCCCAATGCTGAGTTGGTCTCTCCAATTCTTCTGCAAAGTCATATGCCTGAAGAAATTTGGCACAGACACAGCTTCCAAAGCTCATCTCCACTGACAGACAAAGCCTGGTGACCCCACATCCTGGACAGAGTCTTACCTCTGCTATTTTATTTGTGTCATCTCTCCCAGGCCAATCCGGCTCATAAACTTCCTGCAAACACTCTGTCAGCTTCTTGGAGGCCTCGTGCATGGCTAGGAAAAAAAGAGGGAACTGCTTCAGAAAGCAGGAAATAGTGTGTTCCTCACAGTTTAACCCTCATCCTGAGGAATGGGGACACAGGAGGGTTATAACAAATACTAAGCTCTTCCTTATAGAATGTCTGATCCTTAATAACAGAGATGGAAGGTAACCAGAAGGAGAAAGGAACCAAGGATGCAGTCGCATCAAACCCTTTGTGTTCATCACAAACCCCTAGCAGAAGATATAAGAGTCTATCTGCTAAGACAGCACCACCTATTTGGCATCAAAGCACAACCCCATTCTATCCCAGCTGATCCTGAAGGATTCTGAAAGATCCCCCACCCAGACAAGGCTGACCTTTCCTACAACTCTCGCCTGAGGAAACACCAGGAAGGGGATGGCTGCAGAAACATCACCGCATAGGTGAGCACTAGAGGGGAAACAATCTTCTGCTTATGCAGACCTTACCTTTTACGGAAGCCAAGTAAGTTCGGAGGTCCTTCTGCAGCCTTGTGCCTTCGGACTGTGAACGTAAGGAGAAGACCACCAGTTATTCTCTCACATAGAGAGACTGTAAGAAGGATGAGTCAAGCATTTCTAAATAAAGAAAAACGATCTTGCAGATGGGCTACACACCAGCCCTATGACCACATGAGTCATAAATGTTAACAGGGAGACCACACAGCCCTCTGACTTGGTAAGCCCACAGCCAGTGACCTGCAGGCATGTTTGGCCAACAATACCACCAAGGTACCGAGTAACTTGATGGGGGTAAAGCTGTGATTTGCTCTGCCTAGCAGAGCCAGCTTTAGTGTTTTGATTTCATACAAGCAACTAGAGAGGGTCCTAAGGGCAACAATTAGTTTATAAGCCCAGGGCTAGTGGGTCTATGCAACAAATGTAACTGAAGAGAGTCTGTATGATATAGAAGACAGATGCAATTGATTTATTTTGTACTAGTTTGGAAACAGTTTAGCTCACCACTTTTTCCTGCCATGCTGCAAACCAAAACCCCAGTGCAAAGTGGGTACAAGGGACCTCTGACCTGCCCAAACATCCTGTCTAAGTTGTCCTGTGCAGCAGGGCTTGCAAATACAGTTAATCATCTTTTTCTTTAGCTTCACTGTGGAGCTGGCCTGCCAGCAGCAGATCTCACTCACTAGGAAACAAAGGATTAAAGCCAGAAGCTGAGCTGAGTTTCGCCAGGTTGAGCCTTCAGATGACACAGCTGAGTGCAGTACAAGAGCCTGGGTTAGAAAGGGTTGTGGACATTTTTACAGCAAAAGTTGGCTCAGACATGCACACGTACATGCACTCCCCATACGACTGCTCTCCTGCACTAGGATAAGCATACTCAGGTCCACCTCCCCTCTACCTTGCCATGTGTCACTGACAGGGGTGCAAAGCAGACAGGGAAATACTCCCAAATCCAGACAGTGACATTAAGCAAAACAGAAACGAAAGGAAGAGCAAGGCTTGAGAAGTTGACCAACACCACCATGGAGCATGTCAAAGCAAGGGAAGGAACAAACATTGAGGACATCTGTGTAGACAACCTCTGGAGTATGCAAGAAGTACAGAAAAAATTTGAGCAGCAAAGATCTGTTATAAAAGGGTTTCCTTTACCCTGTGCGATCTCACTATCCCCCAAAGTAGCTGTAAAAACAAGAATGCAGGAAAGCAACAACTACACCTCACACCTTCCTCACAACCTGCTACTATTCCTCCTCTTCTTTCTCAGTTTGTGTCCCATTGGGGGGGCCCCCAACATAATGAATTTTGACAGCTGAAGACAACTCCAGAGACAGCGAGCTCACAGGACATCTCTGACAGCTGCCTCAGAGCTACTAGCTTCAAAAGCAGATGTTTCCCATCAGCCCTCCTCACAACTCAGGCATCTCTTGCCTCAACTGAGCTCATGCTGTGATCCCTTGTGCTCTCAGTGCAGCTATGCTCTCTAAGCAGAGGCTAAATCTGCCAGCTGTTGAAGTGGCAGTGCTAGCATAGCTTTGTAGAGAAATCCATCTGCTTCCAACACTATGGCCCAATTTGTTTTCCTTGCCTCGAAAGTTCTGGATGAGTTCATATTTGTTTTTTTCCTACTGCCATCAACAAAGGAAATGAGGGATGGGAAAGAGCTGGCCACTTTTATACAAGAAAGTCAGACTCCTAGCCTGGAGAAGCATTGGGAATTGACCCAAAGAGAGTACAAGAGGAAAGGAATAACGACCACATCTGCTGCAAAAGCCCTAGGAGTTCTTAAAACACAGAGCAAACAAATTTAGAGCCTTTTGCTGGCTTAAGGTGAATGTAGAAACCTGGGCAGATGAAGCCTTCCTAGCAGTGCAATCAGAAACCACCAGGGAAGAGGTGCCAGAGTAATCAAACAGCACACACACAGAGGACCATCAGGGAGACTGAGCTGACAAGCAGCAGTTCAATCAAGCTGTAATACGTGTTTGCTTGTGCCTGATGCAGGAAGCAAGAAAGGCTTAGAGGAAAGCAGTGCTGTCTCCCTAGAATTGCTCCATGCTAGAAATCACAGACTGGAACTGGCAAGATCAGATGTCAGAACACAAGATGAAATGGCACAGAACAAATTATAATGCAAAATCCCTCAGATGGATACATTATCATCCTGCAGCTGTATCATTTTTAAAACTGACTACATTTGAACACACAATGTTGAGGTTATCAGAAACTAATCGGCAGGCAAGGTCCTCTGCAGAACATGCCCACCACATACTTGGGCATTGCAACGTCTAGAACTGTAACTCTCAAAATTATAGCATCTAAAATCAGAAACCACCTCTAAAATTATGCCCATACTTGCCTGAGTCCTTCCAAAGCAGCACATGACAGAACCCAGACTCGTGAACTCTTCAAGTCTCGATAGCCAGTCCCAAAGTCACGAGGACAACAGGATCCTCTGAGAGGTACACCGGCACCACAATTAAACATGAAATCAAGATTTTTAGATAGACCACCTGAAAAAACTGCAAGTCAGGGCCCAAATACTGGAGTGCGCAATTGCAGCAATGCACAGCTAGCCTTCTGTGTTCTCCAGGCATCCTCATCACCACTTGTCACGCCGTGATGTGCAGTCAGCCAATATACAGTGCTGCATCCTGCAATTGGAGTGGTCTTTCTTAGCCACCCCTTGCTGATGTTTAAAGTCAGAGTTACAGCTGATCTCCATGACTATGGGGTTACCTAAGCCTCTTAAAAGTACCAAGCCTGCCAGGGAGAGTGAATAGACTTTACAGCCTGTAAGATCTGCAGGCAGAATGATTTTCAAAGAGAGGCCCATGTTCAGAGTTTTGCAATGAATCCCATTTCCCCAGCTCCCCTGGGCACCTGGAGTTCCCAGCCAAGACCCTCTTTGGCATTTCCATTGCTTTATTTCTTGTCCACCAGTAAAGCAGCTCCCTCACTTGCTACAAGGGTTTCTTTTTATTATTTTAAGCATTAATGCTTTCCCAAGAAACTTCAGCAACTGCTTTCTCTCTGTGCATGCAGCACCTGCTTTCTTCAAGCAGGCTATAGCAAGCTGTCAAGTACAGCCACGATTCTGCATAAACACCTCTTGCAACACAGTTAGACACTGTCAAATACTGTATAGAACAGAAGCTTTCAAAACCCTTGAGTGCACGTTTAAAAGATGCTTCCTAAACTCAGAGGTAAAAAAGTAGGGAAGAGAGTTAATCTGGAAAATTAATCCACTTCCCAGTTATTGGAAGAGCTTAAGAGGTTTAAGGGTGTGCAGAGGGAAGTTATAGAGGTGTGGTTGAATCTAAGTATGTTCAAAAATTTAATAGCATAGTAATTTTTAAATTGCAAGAACATAAAAAAAAGAAGAAAGCGTGTGTGTGTATACACATAACAGAGTAACAAAACTCCACAAAAGGAAAATAAAACTAGGACAAAAATTGAAGCTCAGTGCCGATCCTGAACCCCATATTCATTTCTCATCCCTGCACTAAAAAACTGACTTAACACCTTTGCACAGGGACAATGACACTGTGCCTTGATGTAGAAGTGACCACAATAAGTTGTTCTACTCAAACACACAAATGTCATCTTGTTTGAGCAGATTTTGCTATATTTGCAATCACAGTGTAATTCAACCCTGTGAGCCTATAACACAACCAGGTATAATATGAAGGACAGTATGTACAGGAAGATGCATATTTAAAAATAGAAGTGCTTGCTTGAGAGGCTGGAAGAGCTCTCTCTCCAAAGACCTAATGAACCACCTATTACTAATAGCTCTGTTAAGTTAAAACACAAGAGTGGTTTTGTTTCTTTGTGCTTTCTTGTTTTGTTGGGGGGTTGTTACTTACAATACCTTTCACTGAGCACTAGCTAAGTATGTGATTTTCTGTAGGACTGTTTCTTGGTAGTAGACAGGTTTCCTAAAGCCCTTTTTTGCCCCCCAATCTTCAAAAGAAATTCTTTCATCCTAACATTAGACTGTGACCCCTTCTTTACATAACCTCCCTGGTTTTGCAGTTCTGATGGGAACGATTTTTATTATCAGCGGGGATGTTCTACACCTGAGAGGGACAGGTAATGTCCTGTTCAGATTAGATTAATATAGAGCTGGAAGAGCAGACTGAAATTATAAAGGGGGGGGGAAGCATTGAAACAACAGCTCCAGATAAGCCTCCACTCAGCAAACTTCAGAGCTGTTAAGACACAAAGCATGAACAACCGGTAAGAAGCTCCCATCCTCACCCATCCTCGGGTACCAGGCAAGCTGTTAAACTTGTTTTGCTACCTAGGGCTGAAATGGAAACTGCTGGACATGAAGGGTTCTTGCGTGGACAGAAAGTCTCTCTCTGGTTGTGGACCATTACAGTCACTAGGTCAAACCTACACTGCAAGAGCAAAGATTTAAGTCCACACTGCCTGCCCTGCAGGCTGAAGTTCTACCGAACACCATGGGGTATGGGCAGAGATGGATGCAGCCCGTGCCAGCAGCAGCTTGTCTCTCATGCATTTGGTGTGAAACACTGTAAACCAAACCAGAACTTCCACACAAGTGACAGCTCATGAAGGGTATCAAAACCCAGCCGCTCTGCCAGGCGGAAACACAACATTGTGCCAGGTGTAAGGGCTGCCACCAGCCTCCCACTCTCTGTCTCTCCAGCGAGTATTTCAAATGCAGGGGAAGAGAAGCCAAAGCCTGGCACACCTCAGGCAGGGGCTGTGTTGCACCTTTGCAGCAGGCCTCTTGCTCCCAGGTCTGCAAGGACAATTTTGAGGACAGACCCTTGTGCCAGTACCTGAACACAAGTGACACTGGGAAAGGGAAGGAGGGGGGAGCCTTCAAATGAACTTTTTGGGAGGTTAATTTCCAAAGATAATCTGTCATGAGGGAGTAATATGGGGGCCAGTTGTGCTGCTTGTCAAGCCTTCAAGGGACACAGGCGAGCCCTGTAGCCCTGCAGAAGCATGGTTATGTCCAGCTCGTTTGTCATGCAGCAAATCCATCTGTCTGAGCTAAAAAGCTCCTACCATTCAGAGACCTCAGAGTGGTGCTCTTATATGAACCTAAATGGACAGAGAGCTGGGAAGTGCAGTGCTTTCCCTTATGTCCACTCAACCACCGTTTGAGAGAACCACAAGACGCCTTGTTTGAAAATGCATAAGTGATTTTTACACCTGCTCTCCATTCATTGACAGCCCACGCATGGGAACATTTGTCAGTGGCCCAACGCAATCATTAGAGTCAGAGGAGCCTCTAATCAAACAGCAAACAGGGCCACTGCCTGGTCACACCCCAGCCAGTTCCACAGGTGAGTTGTTCTGTCACAAGCCTACAACAAAAGATCAGCTTTCCTCCAGACTTGTATTTCCCACTGCAGCAGACCTTGTAAGGAAAGGCCACAGAAATCTCACACATAGCTATACTACACATACATATCATACCTATAAAAACAAAAACAAGTGCGTATATATGCACATACAGTTGAAGTTTTTTCCCCAGTCTGCTTGGCATCATAACTACTCCTCAGCCTTGGATATCCTAACAATCCAGCTATCTCACATTTATGGTTTGCCTTGTAAAACAGGCATTGTTTGCATTTATTTTAGTAATAGGGAAACTGAGGGCCAAAGCAAAACCAACAGACCCCAAGCAGCAAATGCAGAGCAGCCTCCAGTGCCTTTGATAAATTATTTGGAGAATTTAGTTCATGGTCTGTCCTGCAAGATGGGAAAAGAAATTCAGCTATAGGGGATACAGAGGCAGTGCTCCTTTAACAGGCTTCTCGGTGCACCACTAGAACTCGTGGCTTTGGAAATTGAAAAGCCATCCCAGACAGCCAGATCAAGAAGTTTGGATTTGAGTTTTTCAGTATTTCTCCTTTAAAAAGGCTATTTCCTGATTGCTGATACTTAAAAATAATATGGAAAAGTCACACCTGGTAATGTCATGTTGTCAGAAAGAAGCCAAACTGTATTCCTCTGCGTACAAGAGAATATCATTGGTGGATATGCTATAGAGATGCTGCATGAAATTCTGGAGCAAGAGCTACTATTGCTGCCAAGAGAATGAGCATTAGTCTCCAGGAATCTGCAGTCAGCTCCGGTTAGACATAAGTCAAGGTCAGACTGAAAGATTTTCATTATATTCAGCTGTGACAAATCCCTTCTCATCTGGTTTTGCGACACATAACCACATCTGCTGAGTCTTAACAGACACAATACAGCTGCCGCTAACAGCTCCAGAAAAAGATCCTAAATAAGTCAGGGCACAAAGGGGCTAAAAGATTTCTTCAGCACCATCTGAGCTTTGGTGTGGCATGCGTTTCCTGCCATGAAACAGAAACAACACTTTCCTTAACACCAAGCACTACAGTGCAAGTCCCCTGAGGTAACTGATCTTTTCCCCTCCTCTGGGTGGCTGAAAGCTCCAGATAAAAACAAAACAAAACAAAACCCCCACAAAAAACAAAACAAAACAAAACAAAAACCCCCCCCACACACCCCAAAACCACACCCAGTTCAAGATATAAACCCACTGCTGTTTAAGTAGGAGGGTGGGTGAAAATTGCTACACTGTTAAAATATTTGTGTGCTAAAAATATAGGGATGAAGTCTACACGTGAAAGAATAATGACTCAGGCCTGACACAGTGATTGTGCAAGGTTAAGGAAGAAGTTAGATTTAGATCTTAGCCATGGAAGGATGTTCCCTTTTCACCATTTGCTTTCTTTGTCTCTTCTGCCTTCCGCTGCGCTTAGGAAACTGAATCTGCATTGTTCTATTTTATTTTTTATTTCTAATCTGTTTCCCATCCTATCCATCTTTCAGAGACACAATGTTGGTCTTATGTCTCTGCTTCCAGCCCAGCGGGAAAAGTTACATTACAAAGCAGCTGCTAACTGAAGGAAGTGTTCTGGTTGAGCTATTTCTTTTCCTAAACTTGGGTCTAGAACAAGTATTATTTTTCAGCATACACTCTCACTGACTCCATGATAGGGACACTGGAAGACAGTGTAATTTCTCATAAGTGAACAGCTACGAGTTGTGGGTCACTTCAATAGGCCTATGGCATCGTTTAATTTAATGGGCTTTAATTGCATATTGCAGCAGATGACTGGAAGCTAATGCTGAAACTCAGGGTGTAATTACATATCACCAATTATCTTACCAGCTGTTTGTTGAAATTCTGCACGCACTGTTCAAACTGCTCATCTTTTGTTTCATCGGCTTTCCCAAGCTTCTGAAGGACCTGCAGAAAGAGAGGAGAAAGATAGGAGATTTCAAACACAGCTATAGCAAAGCAGAGACAAAGAAACAGTTGCAGGTATTTGTTCAGGAGGCTGAAAGAAGAAAAGTTAAAGTCTCCCTTATTCTTGCTCTAATAATTTCTGGAATATTTCTCTACGCACTCATAGTTTGAAAAAGGACTTACAGACGAATCAGGATGAACTCACACCTCTTACACTTTGCTGTACCAAAGAGCATGACTGAGGTTTGTCCTTCACTGGTCTAATACTTTTTGCAGACAAGGCAATAGCAACCCAGTTGTTTATCTCCTGGACCAGCAAGAAACAAACCACATCCCTAATATGCCTCGTATTGTGTGGTTACACTTATCCTGATTTAACACTAGACTCTGGTCCAGACAGGGTGGGGTTTTTTTTGCTCCCAGAACAGCTGGGCTGTCCTCAAACACAGAAAGCCATGCAGAGACCTCCTTAGAGAGAAAAGGTGGCTGGAGCAGTGAAAGTCCCACCTTCTTTCCACCTTTTCTCACTATGCACATGCTTGGCAGGAGCTGGCTGTTGAGAGCAACTGGGGACCTTACGTCATGAATCTACATGACACTCAGTCTAAGTATCACGTCTGAGAGTGTCAGCAGCCAGCCCTGTTCCTCTCACTGCCTCCCTGCACAGCACAGCTCACCACAGCCTCTAAAAAAATCCTTATCAGACTACTTCCCTTATCACACTTCTCTCTTAATGATCTCTCCATACAGCTAAGTGGATGGCTTCTAGGCTTTGAACAAAGCACTTCATTTTCGGGGCAGGAAGGTAGGTCCATCACAAGAGGGCTGGGCAAACTGCAGCTGTGGAGGAGGGCAGCAGTTATTTGTCATGCCCCAAGCAACTCCAGCAGCAGGGAGACAAGAATGTAAACTATAGCTGTTTAAGCTTGATTATAACATCTTTGTTAATCGAAAAGAAAACCTGACCATGCCAAAAAAAAAAAAAAAAAAAGGCCTTGTCTCTCAGGGCCAGTAAAAACAGAGAAAAGCCTACTCAGTCTTCAGTCACAGGAGGACTGGAGCCAGAGGTGGGCTAGAAAGGGTGCCAAGGGAACACCTCGAAAACCAAGGGAGCCCTGGCTGGCAAAAGCATGACTGCCCAAGAGGCAGAAAGCACTGGAAAGCCGAAGTCTCTCTTGCTCTGCTGAGCACAGCAGTCCTTTAGCCACAGGTCTCAGCCATCATGTTCAGCCCCTCTTGGAGAGAAGAGGATCAAGATGGAAAAGCAGGTGCATGTTACTGCCATCGGGTCTACAGGAAGGCCACTAGTGTCTCCAGACCAGCCGCTCTGAGGGACTGCCAGGTAGCCATGACAGCCACCCAAACCAGCTTCCTCCAGCTCCCTTTGCTACACGCACAGATCTTCTCAGAGAGCGTAAAGAGGAAAAGGCTGAGCTACTCAATGCCTTCTTTGCCTCAGTCTTTAACAGGCAGACCAGTTATCCTCAGGGTACTCGGCCCCCCGAGCTGGAAGACGGGGACGGCGAGCAGGATAAACCCCCCATAATCCAAGAGGAAGCAGTTAATGACCTGCTACGCCACCTGGATGCTCACAAGTCTATGGGGCCGGATGGGATCCACCCGAGAGTGCTGAGGGAGCTGGCGGAGGAGCTCGCCAA